GGGACTACAACCACTGTCCCCAGATGTGTATGATCCAATTCACTCTGTCAACTGCTACCCTAAGTGCAAAAAATAAAAAGAAAGAAATTTGGATTTTGGCCTCCCATCCCCCTTAGCCAAATCTCAATGTCTGCTAAGCCGTGACTGTCCCAGTCCGGTCTGGTGGCATGCTCCTGGGGCTAGGGCAGGCCTGTGACTGCTCTTCCTTTGTTGACCCTTCTGCGAAGCTCAGGTGGGCGCCCTGGTTTCAGCTGAGCTTTCTCAGGCTGACTGACCATCGGCTTTCTCAGCTTGCTCTTTTTGTTCTGAACATTTCTCTCCCCACGGCCCCGCTTAGTAGCAGCGCCCTGCGGTCAGCCTGCTGAGATCTGGCCACATCCTGGGCTTGCTGACGCTGGACGGGGGCCGTTTCCAGGCATGGCGCTGATGACACTGCCTTTGCAGGAACGGACTGTGGCTCCCGAGGACAGTGGAAAGTGTCAGAGGCAGTGATGATGGGTGCCCATGTGCCTTCCGTAGCTCACGGCCCTTGGCACAATGTGATCCCTTGGTTGGTAGCATGTCAGCCCATTTCTGATACATGTTCTTGGAGAGCCGTTCCTGTCATTTCCAAGGGTGGGAAGAAGGGAGCCCCTGCCTCAGAAAGTAACCCTGGGTCATGGGGGCTGAGGGCTGAGACCAAGCGTTTGGCCAGACTTGGCATGACTGGGTGATCGGGGCTGGAGTGGGATACGGGCTGCTGGCATGTGGATGGACTGAAGGGCGGGGCCTAGTCGGTTCTCTGGGGGAGAGGGATGTGGAGATGGAGCTTGGCATCTCAGCAGGCTGACTGCAGGGTGCTGATACTAAGCGTGGAAAGCTAAGAACAGAGAGAGCACAGAGGGGTACAGAGACCACGCCCTGCCCACTGTCCATAGTAGCTCCATGTTCAATGGGAAGGAGGAGGACGGGGAGGAGGGGGAGGGGAAGCTTTCCCTCATGCTTTGAGAACTAGTTTCTCTATCACCCCTTCTGTGAAGCCTTCCCCAACTCTCCCCAGGTAATCCCCCCTCCTCCACCTGTGAGACAGACTTGGGACACATCTGGTGCTGGTGGGGAGAGCGGGACAGACCAGATGAGGGATTGACCTGGTGGCTTAGCTGTGAGCCCGCTTTCGGGCCACAGCCCTGCATCCTCATCCCAGTAGCTCCCACGCAGAGGATGGCACTTGGCACGAAGCAGGCTTGTGAGTGTAGAGACTTGCTAGTGACAGACCCTGCAGAGGGTGGGAAGCAGCTGCCACGGTGACTTGACAAGCCAATGTTTGGGTCCCCAAGGGTCCCTGGCTTGAGAGCATTCTGTCACTGACGAGGGACCTTCTGGGTCACTCGGGCCACGAGTTGGCTCCCAGTCCAGATTCGGGGACTCCGGGATTTTCAAGCACTTTAGAAAGGCCTTGAAGAGACTTGGGGGGAGGGCTTGGCTGTGTCTGTACCTTCTCTTAGTCACAGCGTGTCTCTAACGGCAAGTCACAGGACGAGAAGATGTCACATACACCCCCCTACCTCTTGGGCCTAGAAAAGAAATCCCACCCTCTCACTGAAAATGGAAACTTGCCCCGCCCGGCCCCTCTTCGTCAGTCACATGATGATGCACGTCCCAGCGGGCTGTCTTGGATTTTTGGATCTGGTTGTTTTCACTCTTGGTGTGAGGCAGGGCGTGACCCTGGTTGGGACGAGGCTATTTTAAGGGACTCTCAGCGCCCCTGGTAAAAGCGATGGGCAGAGTCCCACGTATTGCTCAGGCTAGACATTGTGCACCCGCTTCTTGGACACTGC